CCCAGCTAGAATGAAATTCTTTTTTTTTTTTAAAGATTTATTTATTTATTGTGTATACAGTGTTCTGTCTGCATGTATGCCTGCAGGCCAGAAGAGGGCGCCAGATCTCATTACAGATGGTGAGACACCATGTGGTTGCTGGGAATTGAACTCAGGTCCTCTGGAAGAGCAGCCAGTGCTCTTAACCACTGAACCATCTCTCCAGCCCCTAGAATGAAATTCTTAATGACTGGCAACTATTGAAAAATAAAAACAAATAAGAGATTAGAGCAGTAATGCATTTAAAGAAAATATTTAAGAGTTTTGTTACTGGGTTTCTGTTTGCTTTCTGGATTTTTAGAGCATGTATTAGCTGAGTGTTGCCTTTTTCTACTGGCCTTCTTGGCTGGTGTGTTCAAGGGATGATACTTGCTTTTGATTTTGGCTAGAATCTTGTAGTTCTTGTTTAAGAGGACCATGTTAAATTTGTAGGTCTATCTTTGTGCCTCCTTTTATCAGTGGTGCCTTTTGTGTTATATGATGGACCTTTACCTATTTTTGTATTTTGACAGATTACTACATTATGTTATGAGTTCCTTGAGTTTTTGTTGGTTTGGAGACTTTCTGTGGAGAAACAGTTTTAGTTTTCTCTTCTTGATCTTAGAGCCTTGCCTCTTCTCATTTCTTGGTTTATCTGTGTTTTCCAGTTGTTACTATCATCAATGTTTGCATTTTTGCTATTTAAATCATTGATGTGGTTAATACATTGGTTTTGGTTTTTAAAACCTTCTTGTATATGATTGTCTCTGTTTCCTAGTTAGCACCAGCAGTCAACATATTTGAACCTACAGTCCTCTGAGGGAACATCAATTGAGGATGTGCCTCCATCAGAATGGCTGGTTGCCATGTCTGTGAGAGACTGTGTTGATTGATGATTGATGTGCAAAGGACCTTCCATTGAAGGTGGCAATATCCCAAAGAAAGTATGCCTGGGCTGGATAAGAGAGCTAGTTGGACATGAAACAATGAACAAGTAAGAGAGAAAGCCAAGAAACAAAGTTTCCCTGTGGTTTTTACCTTCACTTGCTAGCTTGAGTTTCTATCCTAAGCTCCCACAATGATGGACTGTAATCTGACATAATCATCCAAATAAACCTATTTATTACCTAAGAAGCTTTTGGTTAGAGAATTTAATCTCAGCATCAGAGATTCAAGTTAGAATAAAAATGGTATACCAAAAGTGACTCTGTTGCTGGGCAGAACCTGGGAATACTATCTTTTAGAGGAATGTGGAAGATATCAAGACTTTGGATGTCAAGAGCCATAAGCTGCTGTGGGATGTTCTGTATGGCAAATGTGTTGCTCTGATTGGTTGGTAAATAAAACACTGATTGGCCATTGGCTAGGCAGGAAGTATAGGCGGGACAAGGAGGAGAATAAAACTGGGAAGTGAAAGGCTGAGTGGGAGAGACACTGCCAGCTGCCATGATGAGAAACAGCATGTGAAGATGCCGGTAAGCCACGAACCATGTGACAAGGTATAGATTAATGGAAATGGATTAATTTAAGCTGTAAGAACAGTTAGCAAGAAGCCTGGTATGGCCATACAGTTTGTAAGCAATATAAGTCTCTGTGTTTGCTTGGTTGGGTCTGAGTGGCTGTGGGACTGGCGGTTGAGAGAGATTTGTCCTGACTGTGGGCCAGGCAGGAAAACTCTAGCTACAAATGGCGTCCAACATGGTGGCAAGAGTTTCCACCTAAAACCTGAGAAAAGATTCTAAAACGGAGCTAAAAACAGCTTCCTAATTGTCTCTCTCAAATGAGCAGCAGCTGCCAGTTTGAGCTACTGGTGGGTTCCTAGTGTGCACGCTCAACCTGCAGTATGGCAGGAATGAGGCCTCTGCAAGTGGCACATTAAGCTGCATGGTGGATTTAGCCTTTTCTAGTACAAAACAAAAAAAAAGAGGTTTCTGGGCTACACGCTGCTTGGCTAAAAGCATAGACCCACGATAGCTCCCAGAGCTGGCAGTAAACCACCGCCATGTTGGGAAGCTGAGGTGGGCGGAGCCAGCAGCCACAGCTGCTACAGTTTAAGGCAGTAGATTCACAATAAGACAGATTCAGATGTAATAGTTTACAATGTGTGTAAAAGATACGTAGGCTTGAAAGAGACAAAAAAGGTGATATATAGAGTTATAGAAACAAATACATAGTCTTAAAAAATAAAGTCTTTAAAGAGACAGTAAAGGTAGTATAAAAAATAAGCCACGTAAAAATGGATATTACACAGAGAATCTGGATTGTGTTGTCTTTGGGATTTTTAACTGCAGAAAAACATTTGATCATAAAAGATGTTGAGTTAAACCAATATGTATATTTTAAAGATACCATGACTTCAAAATTTGGATATAAGGATATGTTGCTTTGGAAAGGAGACTCTGCTTTTGTTCCCACAGAAAGCCAGAGGCTATGGATTTGTTCCAGATTAAGATACATCAGGTTTGACCAGCCAAGACCCCCTGAAAGGTCTCCAATGACACCATGGCCCAGATGATCCAACATCCAGAATGGTTTCAAGGCAACTGGCTCAGACGATACACCCTCATGGACTATTCCATAATTCTAAAATTTTCTTTGTGTCCCCATAAGATACAGCGCCCCCCTCCAGCAGGAAGTAGTAAGAGAAGCTACGCCCAAATTCCCAAATTATATGTAATTTTACTTTGTTAAGGTTAAAACCTTCCTTTTTTAAAAAAAGAAAGGGGGAAGTGCAGTGGGATGTTCTGTATGGCAAATGTGTTGCTCTGATTGGTTGGTAAATAAAACACTGATTGGCCATTGGCTAGGCAGGAAGTATAGGCGGGACAAGGAGGAGAATAAAGTTGGGAAGTGAAAGGCTGAGTGGGAGAGACACTGCCAGCTGCCATGATGAGAAACAGCATGTGAAGTTGCCGGTAAGCCACGAACCATGTGGCAAGGTATAGATTAATGGAAATGGATTAATTTAAGCTGTAAGAACAGTTAGCAAGAAGCCTGGTATGGCCGTACAGTTTGTAAGCAATATAAGTCTCTGTGTTTGCTTGGTTGGGTCTGAGTGGCTGTGGGACTGGCGGTTGAGAGAGATTTGTCCTGACTGTGGGCCAGGCAGGAAAACTCTAGCTACAATAAGCTCTACACAGAGCTTAATAAATTGCTCTTGTAGGAACTGGAAGATGGGAGTGTTGAGAGTAATGACAGACAGTAGGGGTCCAGGTATTAGGATTTCAACGGGAAGCAGAATTCGTGGTAAATTAGGCTAGAGGTCATTTGTATGATATTTTGGCCCCAAACCTTTCTTATTTTACTCATGTCCCAAGAAATTGAGGAAGGTGGAATTAAAAAATAATGGGCTGATTACTGAGCTGGAACATTGAATCTCTTGGATGGCTATTACTGATGACTCATTCAGGACTACAGTGAAAAAAAGCAAGTGGGGCAGAAGTAAATAAAAATTCTATGGGGTTGTACAGAGAAACAGCACTAGGTAGTTTCAGATGGCAGTCAAGTGCTGAAACAGAGGCAGAAATTTTCAGGGAGATTATCACCATTAAAGAGGAAGTCCTTTGTAGACAGAGAGCTTTTCTCTATCTTGCCTGGCCCCGTGGTCCCACAGCCATTTACAAAGTAATCATTCAGAGGCTTAGTATTAATTACAAACTGTTGGGTGTATGGCTTAGGCTTCTTGCTAGTTAGCTCTTACATCTTAAATTAACCCATATCTGTTCATCTGTGTATTTCCACGTGTCTCGTGACTTTACCTGTATTCCATTACATCTTGCTTCCCTGCTGGCTCTCAGCATTTCCCCTGACTCTGCCTTTCTTCTCCTTGTATCTGTCTCTCTTGGGTTTCCCACCTGTCTATGGCCTGTCTTGCCATAGGCCCAAAGCAGCTTCTTTATTAACCAGTGGTAGCAACACATATTCACAGTATACAGAAAGACCATTTCACAGCAGTCCTTCCCTCTACATTGGATGCCTAGCAGGGTACCCTAAGGGTAAGAATCCATCCTTCTGTGCCCTCAATTAATGGAAGGAGTAGGCAAAGTGATTCTTAGTTCCAGTAAGCAACTTCATACAAAACATGCTGCAATTCTGGCCCAATCACAGCTTGGAAACCAAAGTTGGGGATATCATTGATGTTGTACTGTTTCTGGAAATGAGAAAGATTTGACATCATGGATTCTTAGTCTGTGGTTTCAGTTCAGCACAGTTACAGGCAGTTTGTTTGGCAGAGTCAAGAGTCTCAGTGAGGAGACTGAGAATTTATTGCATGATGCTATGAGGATGAACCCTAGGTTTTATTTTGAGACCATAAAATGTTGTGATGCCTAAGCTATAAAATATCTATCACGGAGAGCTATGTATAGAGAGTGGAAGGAGCCAGAGAGAGAGATGTATGAGAAGTTGCAGGAATAGGGCCTTCTAAGCCCTTTGAAACTGAAGTCCTATCTGTCTGACACAGAGCTATAGGATTTGATGGTTGCCCTGCTGGGTTTGTCTTGTCTTGGCCCAATCTTCCCTCATTATGTACCCATTCCTCTCTTTTGGAATGAGAATGGCTATTGCGTGCCATTGTATGTTGGAAAGATATGATTTGTTTTCTGATTTCACAAGATGTCACAATCAAGAGATTGTCTTGAGTGTCAGAAGGACTTTGGACATTTGAATAGTGTAGGGGCTGTTTAGGATTATTGAAGTGACTATATGCACTTTCTTCATGGACGGCCATGAGCCTATAGTGACCTGGTTCAGAATGTAGTTGATTGAATGAAGAACCTCCTCGGTAGGTATTGTAGTTGAAACATTACTATGTTGTGGTTGAAAATGATCAGCTGGCTTCCATCTCCTGTGGTTATACCTTCACCATCATTATAGACTCTATCCCTAAATCATATAAAATATAATAGAAACAATTGCTATTCAATGCTAAGCTGTTTTGCTAGCCTGCAGTTTTTATTATTTTAATTTTGTTGTTTTTTAAGACAAGGTTTGTCTGTGTATCCCTGGCTGTCCTGAAAGTGGCTCTGTAGACCAGGATGGCCCCTAACTCAGAGATCTACCTGACTGTGGCTACCAAGTGCTGGGATTAAAGGTGGGACAACATTTCTGGCTTTCTTTGTTTTTATATTATTGGGTGATAGGCCTGGAATGTACGTTTTTGTACATGTTAAGCATGTGCTGTTGTGCTGAACTTCACCTATATCTTGAATTTTGAAATTTGGCAGAGGATATCATTCTCTTTCCCAGGATGGCATGTATTCATGACATTAATACTGCCTGAGCCTTCTGAGTAATTGGATTGCAGATGTGTGACATTCTTCCTGCCTGTTGTGTTTTGAATTTTTCAAAATAAATATGGGCATTTTGCCTATATGCATGGATATGCACCACATATGTGCCTGGTGCTCACAGTAGTCAAAAAATGGACCCCTGAACTTGGAATAATGGGTAGTTGTGATCCCCCATGTACATAATGGCAATTCAGCCTACCTATATGCAAGACCAGCAAACTGAGCCATCTTTCCTGCCTTATGTTAATTATTTATGATCAATATTTGCATTGCTAATGTTTTCATCTGTCTATCTGTAACTTTAAACACTCATTTTTAATAAGATCTTATTAATGCTAGAGTTAAACTGGGGCACTTCAGGTTTCTGGAAGATGAATACAGAACTAGAGGGAATACATAACTCTTTGTAGGAACTTCAGTAAAAACTTCTGAGTTCTTTCTAATTTTTTTGTTTGTTTGATTGATTTTTGCAGAGGAGACAGGGTCTTGCTGCCCTGGAACTGATTGCATAGACTAGAGTGACATTCAATTCAGAAGAATCACTCTCTGCCTTCTGAGCACTGGGATTAAAGGCATGACCCAATACACCCAGCTTGCCTGCTATTTTTCTTTTTTTGTAGTTAGTAATTGTTAACACAATTTCTCCGATGTGTACTCAGTACTGCTGATCTGTTTGCTTGTCTCTCTGTCTGCTAATAGTCATTTCTTTTGCAATGTGATATCCCATTCAAAGGGTGCAGAAATGACAGGTAAACCTCCTATTCAGTTTCCTTCTAAAGTGCCTTTGTGATGATACTATAATGTCCATGTCATGGATTAAGTGTGGGAAACACCAGAATTATATGACTATATTGTCAAAGAAGTATACATTTACAATGTTGTCAGTATCATGCTTTTTGTTGTACACATGTATGGGATCTTTCAGAATGCAGTGACCTATGATGATGTGCATGTGAACTTTACTCAAGAAGAATGGGCTTTGCTGGATCCTTCTCAGAAGAATCTCTATAAAGATGTGATGCTGGAGACCTACTGGAACCTCGCTACTATAGGTAAGACTGAATTTTCCTTCACATATTAAAATAAGGGGACAACTGTTCCTTAGTTATTGATGAGCTGAATAAATTAGACATGGTTCTAAGATTCACTGACGATAGTCACTCAATTAATATACCATACATTTTTCTGGTACTATATTTTAGGCTACAGTTGGGAAGACCATAACATTGAAGAACATTGTGAAAGTTCTAGAAGACACAGAAGGTAATTTTCATGTACAAGCTGATACAAATGTGCCTCTCAAGAAATTTTAATATGTCCTGGAAGTTGTAAAGAAAAGCAATGATATAAATAAGCTCAGCTTAAAGTGCATAGTTGATTATTCAATTCTCACAAAACCATATACCTTAAGACCAGGTAGGTGAATTATGTTTGTAAGGCATTCTTTTAAGAGAGAAGACAAGGAAACAATGCCTTAACAGATATCACCATTTGAATCATAGGCCCATGAAAACTATGCTGTAGAACTGCCAATCCATTTAGTTTCATAACAGTCAGGTATTGCAAAAGGTATACTACATTGAATAGGTGATAAGTATATATCTAAAGCTTTCTACTAATCAAATAATCCATAGTAAAGCTGTTGTTATTCATATACTTGTGACTTTGCTAAGTTTAGGGAGGGGGAAGTTAGAGCCAAGAGTCAAGGGGCAATTTTTGTGGAGAAACCTTAATTCCTATACACATGTCTATGAGGAACAGATAGTCAAACTGTGAATACAGTGTGGAAACCTTTTGTTTGTTATTCTTTGCTTAATAGATTTACCATATGTCACTCTGGATATAGGCTATATGGGCATAGGGATATGGGAAAAAATGTATCTTTTTCTCTCTGTCTCAATTAGAAGATATGTAGTAGTCTGCACTTTGAGTAGATTTGTTGAATGTGATTCAGGTTTACAAATAATTGGTTTTTGAGCTTCACTGGTAATACATCAACAACTTCACATTGCAGAAAAGCCCTATGAGTACTAGGAATGGGTAAATATTTCTGTTCATCTTGGTTCACTTTGCAAATGTAGAATGACTCATACTATAGGAAGAGTTATGAATGCATTAAGTGTGGTAAAGCTTTTATATGTACCTATTATCCTTGCAGACACAAAAGAAATTATACTGGAGAGAAACCCCATGAAGTTATTCAATATGGTGAAGCCGTTGCACATCAGAGTACTCTAAAAATACATAAAGGAACTCATATTGGAAAGAAACACTATGAATGTAATCAGTATGGTAAAGCCTTTGCAAGTCATGGTCATCTCCGAATACATAAAAGAACACATAATGGAGAGGAACCATTTGAATATAATCAAGGTGGTAAAGCCTTTGCAAGTCATAGTAGTCTCCAAATACATAAAGGAACACATACTGGAGAGAAACCCTATGAATGTAACCAATGTGGGAAAGCCTTTGCAAGTCACAGTAGTCTCAAAATACATAAAAGAACACATACTGGAGAGAAACCCTATGAATGTAATCAATGTGGTAAAGCCTTTGCATATCGCTGTACTCTCCAAAAACATAAAAGATTGCATACTGGAGACAAACCGTATGAATGTAGTCAATGTGGTAAAGCCTTTGCCCAAATCAATAATCTTGAAATGCATAAAAGAACACATACTGGAGAGAAACCCTATGAATGTAATCAATGTGGTAAAGCCTTTGCATATCACAGTTATCTACAAATCCATAAAAGAACACATACTGGAGAGAAACCCTATGAATGTACTCAATGTGGTAAAGCCTTTGCATTTTACAGTAATTTTCAAATCCATAAAAGAAGACATACTGGAGAAAAACCCTATGAATGTAATCAATGTGGTAAAGCCTTTGCTGAACAGAGTCTTCTTCAAATGCATAAAAGAACACATACTGGAGAGAAACCCTATGAATGTAACCAATGTGGTAAAGCCTTTGTAAGTCATGGTCATCTCCAAAGACATAAAAGAACACATACTGGAGAGAAACCCTATGAATGTAGTCAATGTGGTAAAGCCTTTGCAAGTCATGGTCATCTCCAAGCACATAAAAGAACGCATACTGGAGAGAAACCATATGAATGTAATCAGTGTGGTAATGCCTTTGCATTTTACAGTAATCTCCGTATACATAAAAGAAGACATACTGGAGAGAAACCCTATGAATGTACTCAATGTGGTAAAGCCTTTGCTGAACAAAGTCCTCTTCAAATGCATAAAAGAACACATACTGGAGAGAAGCCCTTTGAATGTCCTCAATGTGGTAAAGCCTTTTCACAACTCACTAATCTTCAAATGCATAAAAGAACACATACTGGAGAGAAACCCTATGAATGTAATCAATGTGGTAAAGCCTTTTCACAACACAGTCATCTTCAAATGCATGAGAGAACACATACTGGAGAGAAACCCTATGAATGTAACCAATGTGGTAAAGCCTTTGCACATCAGAGTACTCTCCAAAAACATAAAAGATTACATACTGGAGAGAAACACTATGGATGTAATCAATGTGGTAAAGACTTTTCACAACTCAATAATCTTCATGCACGTACAAGAACACATACTGTAGAGAAGTCCTATGAATGTACTCAATGTGGTAAAACCCTCGCATGTATCAGAAGTCTTCTAAATCATGAGAAAAAATCATCCTGCAGAGAAACCCCATGAATATACTCAATGTGGTAAAGCCTTTGCATGTATCAAAAATCTTCTAAATCACGAGAAAAAAATCATACTACAAAGAAACCCTGTAATTGTAGTCAGTGTGGTAATGTTTTGCATTTCGTGATAGCCTTTTACAAGAGTAAATTTTTAGTTTGCAACCAATCTGTTAATATCACAGTAATCTTTGAGGATCTGAAACACTAATACCAGAGGGAATATGATGATAAAAAATTTGGTAAAATTTTTAGCCAACACACTTTTATTCAGTTAAAAAAGATTATTTATTCTGAACAAGAAAAAATCTGACAATATCAACAATCTTGTCTAGCATGATAATGTCCATTTTTTACTTTGTTTGCACCTTCAAACTCATATGGACAAAAGCCCTACTGATTTAAAAATAAATCATTTTTCCAATTAGGGAACTCTACTACTCAAATATATTTAGTCTTGTTTGACACAGTTAAGTCAGCTCAGAGGTTTGAGAAACAGGCTATTGACTGTCATGTCAGGTTACAGATATCAGCAGCCAACGCGTGTTTATGGGCAGGACAATCAGTCTCTTATTAAAGGCATTCCCTCTACTAGGGAAGGGTGTAATCTTCATTTAAATCAATATAGCTACATGTTTTATCTTAGAAATAAATTACTTTTATCATTGTAAAAACTCAATTGGTATAGTTTTTGAAATTTCATGTTCTTTAAATGCATTCCTGTTTTTTTATTTTTATTCTCCAGTGTTTCTCAGTCATTTAGAATGTCATTTTTCTGAAGTGCTACTGATTTATTTTGTTATGTTTAGAGCAATATCTCCTGTAGCCCATGCTTGCTTTGAGCTATGTAGTTGAGAATTGATTTGAACACACCTACTCCTGCCTCTGCTGCCCAGGGCTGGGAAGAAACTCCTGCAACCCTTCCAGGCAGGGCCTTGACTGGTCAGTGAGAAGGAAAGGGGTTTCTTCTTTTGGCAGTAGTTGAGATTAGCAATGTAGAATCAGGTAATCAATTTTAGATGATCCGTAAATGTCCTGACTGGCTGTTTTTTGGGGTCCACAGATCAGGGCAATCAAGAATCTAGATAAAAGTCTGAACCTATAATGAAGCCAAATAACTGTAGTAACACTAGTTCAGCGAATACAGATGATCTGGATAAAATGGTGTGACCCTGCCTAACAGGACTGTTATTTTCCTCATTTAAGATGTTCAATCTGGGCTGGGCAGTGGTGGCGCATGCCTTTAATCCCAGCACTCGGAAGGCAGAGGCAGATAAATCTTTTTGAGTTTGAGGCCAGCCTGATCTACAAAATAAGTTCCAGGACAGGTTCCAAAAGCTACAAAGAGAAACCCTTCTCAAAAAACAAAACAAAACGAAACAAAAAAAAAGATTTCAGTCAGAGAGAAAATATGTGAGTAATCCTTGGTGTGTTCTCATACAAATCCCTAGTCTCTGGAACACATGACTATAATGTATGTTTCATCTTTTTAAAAATAATTCTTTGATATTATAACTACATCATGTTCACAGTCTCTTTCCTTCCTCCAAAACCTACTCTTGATAACCCAATTGCTTTCTAATTCATGGTCTCTTTTTGCTTTAAATAGTGTTAAACAGTGATAACAGCTACTGTTTGAATGTGACCTATGTTTAATTGCAGGACTTCCCAGCTGTGAAGCAATGGGTTGGCTACACTTGACATAGAGTGTGTAATGGAATGTGCACACAGGACCCTGTGCCTTGGAAGAGGAACAGGAAGTGCTCTGGGAGATTGGAAGCATTTCTACTAAAATACAAATTTTTCAGACTAGGGACCTTACTGTCCCTGGGGTGGAAGGGCAGAGCTGGAAAAGTCTGTGCTGAGTCTGAGTCATTTGATTTTTCCTCACCCAGTAGGGAGAAGCTAATGTCCTGAGGCCCAGCTGGGTGATCCTAGCTAACTAGGAACTCTGGGGAGGCTTTGCAATCAAGAGTACCAGTGGGAGGTGGCTTGCAGGTTTTTTTTCAGGGTTCTGCTTCTGCTGTAGGGAGCTGTGAGAGAGACCATAGGCCATGTCATGGTGAATGTTGGGGCCAGTGACCCCAAACTAGGAGGAGCACTTTTGCTGAGCTGTCTGAGCCTCCTTGGATATAGATTCCCTGGGGAGGAGGGGCCTCTGCCACCCTGGCTCTGGAAGGCTGTAATGCTTGTAATATATGTGTACAGAATGCCAGTACTATATGAGCAAACTTTGGCTTTTGCACATTTTTACAATAAATTGACTTTTGAAAGTAAACCCATTGAAAACATAGAAGCTCTCCTCATTCAGCAATGGCTCAGTGTTTAGAAGTCTTGGAGACTGATTTGACTGATTTATGTTTCAAAGCCACTTGGCAGATAAGTCATTGTGTCTTTAGTTACATCTGAATTTCTCTTGAAACATGGTAAACCAAGTAGCCTTCTATTTCACAATATTTTCATTGAGTTCACTGATTTCAGTAGTTATACTTGCCCTTAGTGATAAAGGGATTAGGTTATATTTGAGTGAATGTTAGAGACTCTGAAATGATTTCTTTTGAAGGAATACAAAATATTTTAAGAACTGGTGTCAACATTCTTATTGTCATGTGTTTGTTGTTTTCCACTCCTGTTTTGAATCTTAATTTTGTAATAATGCTTACTTTTGAAAAAATCAGCACACTGTTACCTTTCTAGTACTTTACTGTACAGCTTTTTTTTTTAAAATAAAGCTGTTTTCTTGGTTTAAGTAGCACTCATTTAATTTATAGGTACTAGGGGGATATCATGTTGCAGTTGCTTCTCTTCTCTCTAGGCTCATAACTGACCAAAATCATATTGAGAAACTCAGGGTTATTGACTGTTTTGGTTTGTTAGCCTTTCATTAGTCAACCTTTATTATTTTAAGATTTCATACATAAATATAATATAATTTGATCAAATCCACCCCTTATTTCCTCCCCTTCTGTGCCCCTGCCTCTTTTTGTTTCATCTTCTCCACTTCACAGTATGCTTCTAGACTCACTGAGTTCACTTAGTTCTTGGGGGAGGAAAGGGTTTATTTGGTTTACAGGTCCAGTTTACAGTCTATTATACAGGCAAGTCAGTCAGTAACTCAATGCGGAAGCCTAGAGGCAGGAACTGAAATAAAAACGCTGGAGAAATATTGCTTACTGCCTTGTTCTTTCTGGCTTCTTCAGTTTTCTTTCCTTATTCTTTTTTTTCTTTTTAATTTAAAATAGATTTTCATACAATATATTTTGATTAGCCTTCACCATCCCCAATCAGATCTTGCCTCCCATCCAAAACTATACCCCCCCCATTAGAAAATAAGCAGGCATCTAAAAGTTCTCTTTGCTTCCTTCTACACTGCAGTACCACCTGCCCAGGAATAGTACAGCTTCACAGTGGGCTGGGCCCTCTCTCATAAATCATTAATCAAGAAAACACCCTATAATTGAAATTTCTCTTTCTAAATAAACCTAGCTTGCATCATGTTGAGGAAGAACCAACCAGGACAAGGACCATGAGTTAAGAGCCAGCTTGGGCTATGTAGTGAAACCCTATCTGAAAATAAAATCAAAGTAAATAACTAACTAAAAAAAAATTAAACTCTCACAATAAGTTTATCTTTTAGCATTACTCTTTTCAAATATTTGATTCTCTTCCCTAGACTTTGGATTACTTGGTTATGAAAGCATCTACTATTTTTATCTTAAGTTTGACTTTTAATGAAACTCAATGATTTTGTTCAGAGGTATAACACAGAGAAGGGTGCTTTGGATGTGAGTAGGATCTATTCCAGGTATCATACACTATGATCAAATCTCAGGATGACACCCAAAATTATCCTCTTGCCCTCTCATGAACATTGTGACTCATACACACATGTGTACCTTCATATGAATACACATGCAAAATAAAAAGGAAAATTAATGATTAGGAATAGTGAGAAGTGAAAATGTCTAGAGATTCATTAGTGTGACTCACTTTTGTTGCTAGAAGGCAAATTGAATTTTGGAACATAAATGGGCTAATTGAAGTCTTAGAGAGGGAACAAGATTCATAAGAGCCTTTTAAGCTAAGAGAGTTAGTGGGAATGATTAAGTGTAAATTAGTGGAGCTAAGAATAATGTCTATAGGGTACCAGAAAGTGTCCTATCATTAGGGGAATGAAAGAACAAAAGAACACTACTTGTCTTGTTAATGTAAACACATGTGTTTAATGCTCTACTGTTTGTGCACACACACATTCCACAGTGCTTTTGTGGAGGCCAGAGGACAACTATAGGGAATTTATTTCCTTCTAACTAACATATGGGTCTTATGGATCAAACTAGTCTTTAGCCTTGTTTGGGATTTCCTTTATTGTCTGAGGCAATTCCTTAGGTCTCATATTTTTATTACTTTTATTTATTTGTCAGGGTTAATTTGCATGTGTGTCTAAGGATCTGACTCAAATGGTCTTGCCTGTCTATCCTTAATGCATTAAGTGTACATAGATTTACCTGCCATCCTAGGACTTAATGCAGTCCAGCATAGCTTTCATTCAGTTCTACAATATACAACCTTGTAGATTGCTTCTGAGTTTTTTTTATTTGTGTACTCACATATAGGTGTCTTGGTGATCATGTGTACATACAAATATCCTTAATGTTATGAGAATCAAGCTGTTTTAGAATGGCTTGTCCCTGTGGATTGTAGGGGATGCCAGTGGTATGGGAAATCTTTCAGGATTCGAGAAAGCCACTGAATTGTTGATAGGCATAGGCAGGGCCATTGTCCATTTTAAGTACCCAAAGTACCTCATAACTACCATGCTGACTTAAGGGCCTTGATAGCATTGATGGCCTTCTCCCTAGAAAGGGCCAGGGCATAAACAAAGGAGGAACAGGTGTCTATTATCACATAA